TTTCTGTTCCTCACTTCTGATTACCTTCAATGGTGTCTGTTTGTTGCAACCAGCAGGTACAAAAACTAACTTGTTTTTATTTGACTATTTTTCTGTCCTGCCTGTTTATTATCTTCCTGCATCTCCTCTCAATCCTAAAGAGAAACTGCTACCTGGGTTCATATATATTCACCTTATGAGTTACCTTTGAACTGCAGTTCTAAAAGATCTACCGACCGCAAAAACAGCGGAGCGCTTGCTGTTTGGCGGCCGTATCAGTGATCAGTGCGTCAGAGGACAAGGTGATGCCCGCAGCGCCCCGCTCCACAGCATGCAGCGAAACGCATCAGGCGCAAATAAAAGACAGAAAACATTAAAGGAAATGAACTGACATGAACGATCGCGTGTTAAATTAGTTTTTGATGTGGCGACACCTGATTGTTACTGTGGCCGTGCTCAGGAGGCAGATCTACCGACCGCGAAAACAGCTGAGCGCTCCCTGCTTGCCGGCCGCATCAGTGATCTGTGCGTCGGAGGACAAGTTGATGCGCCCCGCTCCACAGCAGCGATACACATCAGGCGCAAATAAAAGACAGAAAACATTAAAGGAAATAAACCGACATGAACGATCGCGTGTCAGTACCTACGGTCTGGCACAGCGCATTGCTGATCACAGAGAATGTGATCATACGATAATTCAATAGGGAGCGTGGTTTCACAGACGCGGAAGTGATAGCGTCGGTGAAACGCCGGCTGCTCTAGGAAACCCCCGAGCGTTCGAGCGTCAACGAAGTGACACGGAAATGCCGGGCTTTCCAGAAGTAAGTAAGATAACTTACTATGAGCTGATAGTTCGTTGGATTGATCGGTAGGTTGGAAACTCTGATCATGAATCTGAAGAAACGATGACTGAGTGGTGAGCTGGAAAGGCGACTTCCGTTTATAGCCGCGGTTTGTGACGTAGGTACGACGTGGAGGGAATCCCCGCGAGGGGCATGCTGGGAGTCCCTACTTCGCGGATTTTCACCTATCGCGGCCAGGTCTGGAACGCATCTACCGCGATAAACGAGGGATTACTGTAGTTCATACAACCCCTACTGCTGCTCTCCAGAGTGTTCTGCAGCATAATCAGCACGTTCTCTTTGAACTTGATAGTGTAATGACCTGGCTGGGGTTGTAAGCCAGGTGCATTCTGGGTATTGTGTTATATGTGTTTCTTATCATTCTGCTAGTTCCTATGTGCTGATTTGCGTGTTGTGTGAGTGTTATGTAAGCCACAGGGAAGGTGATGTGTGTTCTGTGGAGCGGGTTGAATTAGCATGGTTAACTGACACCGTGACTCTGTGTGGTAGGAGCGTGATAGAGGATCGTGTCTGTAGCGTTACAAAGTGTCGTAGAAAAAGCCTAATAAAGGTCTGCATGAACCCCTACTGCCTCCTGCTGGTTGTTTCCGGGACTATAACCCTGCCGCTGGGACACTCGTACTTGCTTATTACCACATTCCATCCGACCACAATAAGAGACCGTCCATTATTTACCTCCGCTGACTCCGACACCGGCCAAAATTGGAGACCTGGCCTTTAATTGAATACCGGCCTTTGTTGGAGGATTTACAGTATATATATATATATCAATATCAGACGTCACGCTAAACCAGGGGTCCAACCTGTTCCCATCAAAGAGCCATTATTACCCATTTCCCACAGTAAAAAACACTTGGAGTCACAGCAGCCGTGGTGTTGTGGGCGGGGCCTACCCTCAGACAGCAGAGCGCTGCTCACAACAGGTGACAGAAGCCAGTACCGGTCGCTTGTGTAGGTCAAAGTTATCTTTCATAAAAAGATAATCAATAAAACGATTTATATAAAATGGATCCAGAAGTCTTAGCCTGTCTCTGCCGACAATATTTAGATATTTTTCACCCTGTTGGTGGTTTTACTGAGCAGGTGACACTTTTGACATACGTTTCTTTTTAAAACATCTTTAGACTGTTCAGAATACAAATTCAGGCTCTGTCACGTTTGATTGTTGTAATTAAACTTTGTAGGTGGGGAAGGTCAGAAAAGGATCCGATCAATTTGTTTTTCCCTCATTTACAGCGAAGGAGATAACGGTGCAGTGCGCCTGGCTCTGGTGTTAATCAAGTTAAATTATATCTATTTTCACAAGAAAACAAAACAGTTAAAAGCAGGGCTGGTGTTGACCGGACAGTTCCCGTATTTGGCCGTTTATTTTGACGAAGAAATAATAGAAAGCATTACCCCGACGCATGCAGACGAACTGACATTTTATTTGTTTCGCAAATCGCAGATGTAGCTAAATCACTCAAGAAGAGATTCCCATCTGAACATCTGAGCTGGACACCGCACAGCGCAGCTCGCTGTCAGCGCGTACATAAGGTGCACAGCGAGCTGAAGGAGAGGGGCTTGGAGCGCGTTGCAGAACCAGAGCGCATGCAGGAAGATTCCTTCCACTGAAGCGAGAGTTTTCCAAACCCGGTCTCTCAGAGAAACTTGTCACTTAGAAAATGTTCCCTGATGATGAAACTTTGGCTGAATAGCGCTTGTTCCTGTCTCCAATGTGGCGACACATCCAGGAGCCGTCTGAGGAGAGTCCCAAAATCTCACATCCTCTTCAGCTCAGAATGCGCACAAGCGTGACCCGTCAACCCGGTCTCACAGTAAGACCGGGTTGGACCTGTTCAGGTTTACGCAGACAATCTTTACATTTAGAAATAACATACAGATGTAAAATTAATGCAGTAAAATATAAAGCATTTTATTTAAATATCCATTCATGATTTTACAAGCACAGAGAGCCGCATCAGATGGATGGAAGAGCCGCATGCGGCTCCAGAGCCGCGGATTGCCGACCCCTGAGCTAGGGCATGTGCGGAGGACACACACACACACACACACACACACACACACACACACACACACAGGCAAAATATACTTGTTTTCAATTACGTTTATTGGGCCAGCTTATATTTTCTTAGGCCCACCCACAAATGAGTTTCTGGCTACGCTAATGGTGACTTTTGACAGACTTCTCTGAGCTCTGCAGCCATTACACTTTTCACCTCGCGCACCCCCTAGCGGCAGCTTGCGCACCCCCAGGGGTGCGTGCACCACACTTTGGGAATCCTTATTCATTACTCTCAGGAAGTCCACAGAATGTAGTTAAAAGTCTTCAGCTTGTCCAAAATGCTGCAGCTAGAGTTCTGATGAGAATTAAAAAGAGAGATCATATCTCTCCTGTCTTAGCTTCCCTACATTGGCTACCTGTTAAATTCAGAATAGATTTTAAGATACTTCTTCTCACATATAAAGCTCTTAATAATCAAGCTCCATCAGACATCAGTGATCTGATTGTTCCATATGTTCCTAACCGAGCACTTCGCTCTCAGACTGCAGGTTTACTGGTGGTTCCCAGAATATCTCAAATTAGGATGGGAGGCAGATCTTTTAGTTATCAGTCTTCTCTCTTGTGGAACCAGCTCCCAGCTTTAGTCTGTGAGGCAGACACCTTGTCTACTTTTAAGAATAGGCTTAAAACATTTTTATTTGATAGGGCCTATGTCATGACTCCCATCCTTCACCCTCCTCCACTTCCTCATTATACCTTCATTCAGCTCACCTGGTTCCTCTCACCAAGCTCCAGCCAAGCCCTGCTTTTCCCAGCAACCTGTTAGCTTCAATCAGCTCCATTCATTCCACCTGCTCCTGTAATCAGCCTCATCCCATTCACCTGCTTCCCCTGCTATAAAAGAACCAGCCATCCAGTCAACAGATGCCAGATTATTACAGCCTTGCCAGTAGTTCTCCAGCCATCCACCCTGCCTGATCTTTGCCTCTGGACCTTGTTTTTTGCCTGACCCCTGCCTTGCTCTCTGCCTGCCACTTTGACCTTAGCCTGCCTCTGAACCTGCCTCAGCCTTGCCCTCCAGGTACCTCTGCATTAAATAAAGACTTTTTAATATATTTTTACTGTGTTGGCGTCTTCACGGGTCTTCTGAACTCGGTTCCTGACAGACTATGGTTAAAATCTGATGTTAGCCTAAATCTGGACAAGTGGGGGAGTAGAGGGAGGTGGAGTGTACAGTCGGTAAAGACGGCTCTCCCTTGCCCTGACTCCAACATGCCTCCATCTAAATAGGATAGATTATCCAGAGTTATCTCTGTAGTTATGCTGCTATAGGCTTAGACTGCTGGAGGATACACTGACCACTTTTCACACTCTACTGCTTTCTTCTACTATCTGCTCTTTAACTGTATTCTTTCCTGCTATTTCAGCTGTTAACTTTATTTTCTCTCTAAGTGTTTTTCTCCCCAGAAGAAGCTACAATGATGTTCTGCTGAGCTGTGGTGGCCTCATGGAGGGGGCCATCGACTAGTACACTGCTGCTAACTACTTAAACATTCTCCCTCTCCTGATAATAACTTTTTGCTTTCCTTGATGTTGGATGTGCTACTACTAGTTTACCCGTTTAATTATAGATCCACTAGGATAAATACAATAAAGTTTATCTTTCACCAAATAGAATATTTACTAAGAAATCACAATATAACTATAGACACATTACTTGTGTGTGTGTGTGTGTGTGTGTGTGTGTGTGTGTGTGTGTGTGTGTGTGTGTGTGTGTGTGTGTGTGTGTGTGTGTCTGCTCTGTCTTCTCCATCCCCAGTGAGTCGTGGTGGATGGCTGCTTATACTGAGCCGGGATCCTCTGGAGGTTTCTTCCTGTTAAAAGGGAGTTTTCCTCTCCACTGTCGCTATATGCTTGCTTAGTATGAGGATTGCTGTAAAGTCACTGACGACTTGATGCAATTTGCTGGGTTCCTTATATAGGAAACATTTTTTCTGACTGGCTTAATGAACTGACCTGGATTGGAATGTTTATTATGTGAAGTGCCTTGAGACGACTCTTGTCGTGATTTGGCGCTTTATAAATAAACTTGAATTGAATTGAACACATGGGTCTCTTTCCCTCACTCATACAAAGACCAGATCACACCAAGCTGAGAAAACCAGAGTATCTTTATTATTTCATTATTATTATCAACATGCAGATTACAAGAAAAAAATGTTTTCGGCTCAGAAATGAGCCTCTACCACGCACATGTCTACATCCCAAAACTCTTTACAATATAAGAAGTTTATTAAGAAATTATTACAATGATTCATCAGTTATTTTCATTTGGCAAAACTGTAAGCAAATAAGTTTAAAAAAAAAGAAAGAAAATTCTACCCCAAACACTCAATAATACCCCCGCGCCTCACACAAATGACAGAGATACTTTATTTCGTAACTAGCAAGTGGCTACTCAAGATTGGATATTAGTGGGAGCTGAATTATTCATGCATCCATGCAGTATACTAACTGGACTGCCACAAGTCCCATAAATAACATTTGCAATGCTAATTTGAAGCATTTCGGCTTCTGCAGGTTCATGTTGTCTTTCCGCTCTTGCTAGTTGTCTGAATAAGGTAAAAATGTCGATCTTTCCAGGGGGGTATGGTCAGAGTCTGCATGCTGGTTCTGAAAACTTGTATTATTTCTACAAATATCTTTTCAATACGCGGTAGAGAGTAATAATTTTCCTCGGTGATGCCACTGTGACCGAACATGCAATAGTCCTTAATGAAGTAGTTGAAACTGTTTTATCATAACAAGCTAATTCTCTGAGCTAGGCTACAGTATGTTGTATTGTCCTGTTTATATATTTGTTGATGTCTGCTTGTGCTTTTGGACATGTCTATAATGTATAGGGTTAGGGTTAGTACTTCATCAGGGGCTGAAGGTTCTTGAGGACTCGTAGTCCGATATACACTTGGGTTTGATTCCTTTTGCGTTGTAGTAATCCACCACCTGGTTTGGCACTTCAGCCAGAACGCTCTTGGCTAAGGCAGCCGGAGAGGCCTGGGGAAGCAGACAGAGAGACCATGGAGAATTTTCATCACAGATATGCACACACACATCACCCTTCCTTTCTTAAATCTAGAAGACGAGACTTTAATGCTGCGCCCAATGCAGCCAAAGGTGCGGACCACTGAGACTGATGTGATCAGACAGGCTCGTCTGACAGCTCCGAATGCGCTCTTGTTTTCGCCTCTTTTGTTCTCTGGTGCGGCTGCTGGGTTTCTGGAATATCAGTGTGTTTGCAGCTAAAGTGGCGCTGCACAGAGTTGCATCACATCCTCGTGGCAGCTGTCAGATCCTGTATTAGAGGTCTCTCGACACAACACAAGCATCAAGGATCACACGCTTAAAACACAATGCTGTCTCCTTTCTGCTGCGCTAGGCAGCACACGTTAATGTGGACAGTAGTCTGATTACATCTGTATTGTAAATATGCAAAAATGGTGCTTATTTAATTTATTATTATGGAGGGATAAAAGAAAACTGAAAGCTTTTTCTAGGAAAGCTGCATTGAACTCAACCCCAATAGTCTTATTGTTTTGTCTGTGTGCACAGAACGATTCCATTCTAGGGTCATCATCATCAACAGCTAAGATAAATATTATTTTATTAATCGCAATTTATTGAAGAACAAGTTCACAAATTTTTCAGCACATTTGCTGTGGTTTCTAGTATAAATGAATGCCTTGTGAGTTGATCTCTGTGGGACAGAAGCTCTGGCGCTCCTGTTTCAGGAAGTAGAACTGAGCTAGATCAGAGTGGAGCGGAAGACGGCAGGCTTTGGAGTCTTATTTCCTGATATTTGAACATCTGACCTATGATTAGCGAACAACAATGTGACTGACTGCTTTACAACGTTGATGTTTTATCTCCTCAAATAACACAAGCTAATGTAAAGAGCAAGTCACCCCCAAACCAAGTATTTTTTGCAATAAACTATACAAATTAATGTGTAATTGTGCTGTAGACATGTGTAGTCAATAATAATAATAATGGCACATTAGTGCATTTTAGTAAAAATCTAAACATTCTGCCTAAAACTGTCAGCTTTGTGCCGTCGTCAAGTAAAAACTCTGCACTACATTTGAATTTAAATCTGCCATCGCTATTGGCTAAGAAGTCCACAATGACGTTAGATGGTAGATTATGATGTCACCATGTTGTTGTGAGCCTGTGTGTGTGTGTGTTTGTTAGCTCCTCCGCCCTCTCGGTCTGCCAGGCAACATCATTTGTTGCATTTTTCAAACATGAAGTGGGAGTGGAGTGAGTGTGATGGAGTTGCTAATGCTAACAGTTAGCTTCTACTGATCAAGACGTGTTTCCTGGGTGCTAAACCAACAACAGCCTCCTCCTTCATGAGCCAAGATGGGTGAGTCCATTAATGCAAATGTTCTATGTGAAGTGGAATTAACTGGATTTTCTAATCTGAGTTTTTCCCAGTCTGTTTACTACTGGTTATTGCAGGAAACAGGGATAGAAGACTATTTTCATGTTCATCCTGCATGTATTTCATAAATAACAAGTAAAAAAGTGGTTTCTCAATAAACTTATCCTTTAAGACTCGTGCCACGCACCACCTCTCACCCACAGTCATGTGATCTTTTACCCCCTCGGAGTCGTGTTAAAGCGAGTGCTGAAAACACCTGAGCGATCTAGGAGTCCTACAGAAGATTACACTTGGTCTCAGGAAGACATTTGACTATTTTCCAGTAGGTCTAAAAATCAAAAGCAACTCACATGATATTATGTCACTAAAACTCATTCGTTTGTTAAAGTTAAAGTCCCATTAGTTGTCACACACACAGGTGTGTGTGCGAAATTTGTTCTCAGCATTTGACCCATCCCCTGGGGGAACGGTGAGCTGCAGACACAGCCGCGCTCGGGAACTATTTGGTGGTTTAACCCCCCAATCCAACCCCGTAATGGTGAGTGTCATGCAGGGAGGCATTGGGTCCTATTTTTTCTAAGTCTTTGGTATGACCCGACCAGGAATTGAACCCTGACCTCCCAGTCTCAGGGCGGACACTCTACCACTAGGCCACTGAGCTGGTTTGTTGCATATAAATGTAAAATATAACAGACGTGCAAAAGTCTCCAGGCATCCTTTATCTCTTCATTATTTATTTTGGAGGAGCCAGACTTCTATGAATCTTTTAAAGTGGACTTCATCTTCATGCTGAAAAAAATGTCAGAAAAGCTTTTTAGAAACCATAAAGACCTTTTGATCAGACCACAAGACCGTCTGGGTGTTTGTAAAAAAACTAGAAATTGTTTAAAACTTTTGCACAGTATGATTTGTCCTGATATCATGTTAGGATGTGACTTTTTTTCTTCAATGATTTTTGATTTGATCAAACCTGTCCAGTTATTGATTTATACAAATGTTAACTTTCAGTAATCAGAACAAAAGTGTTAAAGGGTATAAATAAACTCATGCCAGCATGTTTTATACATGTAAGGTTCAGAAAATAAAAATAAAAATCCATTATTTCTATAAGAATACCAACTCCTTCCATGTCAGCAGACCTCAAACAAACAGTCAGATACATCAGAATCCTCAAAGTCAGAGCGTCTGCCGTTCTCCGTCTCACATAATTCCATGAGAAAAAGCATCAAAGTGCTTCCACCCCATCCTCTTCACTGTCTTCTCCTCCTCACGTTTCCACCCTCCCATTCTCTGTTCCTACCTACCTCTTATTCCCCACTGTCACCCAGCAGCTTCGTCCTGCTAATCCCTTCTGAAAAGAAACGACGGAGCAGAAAATCACCTCTCCACCTCTGTCACACACTCCCTTGCTTCCTTTTGTCTTTAGCTCTGGTCTTCAGTTGACCCCCGCCGCTCCTCACTTTCCAACACCATGAGCACTGTTCTCTCTCTCACTCTCTCATCCATGCCTCCACATTATTCATAACTTCTTCTCTCTGTCCAAATCTCCCTCTTTTCAAACCCTCAGTCCATGTTCCACATTCCTTCTCCTTAACCTGCTGATCCAATAGGATATAATTGCTTAATTTCCCAGCCTGTCAAGGGCCAAACTCACCATAACGGACCACGCCAAACACATCTGGTCAGAGCCAGGCCAAATTAGTGCCATCGGGGACACACACACACACACACACACACACACACACACACACACACACACACACACACACACACACACACTCAAGAGAGTGAAGAACTGATGCATTCTGACGAGCTCAGCAAACACATTACGCCCACGTGGGGGAAAAAATGTTATTTCCAAGTTTTAAAACATCCTTCCTAATCCTACCACTGAAACTATATATATATATATATATATATATATATATATATATATATATATATATATATATATATATATATATATATGTGTGTATATATATATATATATATATACACATATATATATATATATATATATATATATGTGTATATATATATATATATGTATATATGTATATATATATATATATATATATATATATATATATCAAACATTCTTACTCTACAGTTTAAAACTAATACAACAACAATAACCTCTGTTATTTACTTTGCTGTTTAAAAAAAACACAAAAACTGATAAATGAGGAAAATAAAATGATGTGAGTAATCTGATCCGATTGCAACAGATAATAGTTGACTCCAGTCTGAAACTCTCCTCTAAAACAGCATAACTGTAAAATAACTTTGTCGTTTAACTCAAAATATACAAATCAGAAATTTATTTATTTATTTGTTTGTTTATTTATCCTTTTGTTAATTTAATAAATACATGTTATTTTAAAAGAAGAAAAAATAGATATTAGTTTAGAACAATGAACACATTTAATGATATTTTATTGATTTTCAATAATAAATATTTATTTTTGTTTGTTTGTTTACTTATTCATTTGTTTTTGTATTTATTTAGTAAATGAGAAAATAAATGGTATTTAAAATTAACTAATAATAATAATAAATAAATAACAAATAAAAATAATTATTCTAAAATACATAATGTTATTGTTATCTATATTAATATTTATAAAATATGTATTTTAATATGTATTTATTTGTCATTTTTTGAGTAATTATTGGACCCTTAAAGGCTTTTTTTATTTGTAGCCAATAGATAACTTTCATCACTCCCAATAAAATATTTCCGTATTTCTATCACACGTTAGTTAAACCAGTTGTTTTTCCTGCCAGTGAAAGCCTCCTGAGTGGCTCAACGGCCTGTTCCCATTTCCTCACCCGGCTTATTTCCTGTCGACAGCTCCTCTTAAACACTCGACACACTGAGGGAAGACAATCTGCTTCCAAGCACAGCCTTTGGGAAACTGTTTTTGCTTTGTAAGTGAAAGTTGATCACAATAACATCAGCGAACTTCCGGCTGTGTTGGCGAGGAGGCTCTCAGGAAATAAAGATGCCTGATTTAATTAGTTTAACAGCAAGATCAATTGAGAGGAATGGATTTTGTCTAATAAATGTGACTATGTGGGTACATTAAGTGAAACTGCGCTGAGCTGTTGCAATGTTTTGGTTGATGGACAAAGTGTTTTCAATAAAATTAAGCATCCTATAGAAACCTTTCAAAGAGGAAATTTGACATAAAATTATAGTAAAAGGTTCATTTTTCTTTGAACAATTCTAGTTAAATGTGTTATTAGCAAAAATCTGACTTTGATTTCCAATATTTAGTGTCTGATGGTCCACTTTAGAACCATAGAACCATTGAGCCAAACTTTGACCTTCTTCTAAAGTCCGGTTCACACAGCAAGAAAATGATGCCAATTTCTGACTTGATCCTCCATTTCCAACAAACTCGAGGACGTGTCCAATCGCTATAATAGTTATAAAGATAATCTTATCAGATATTCCTACTGTGTGTGGTGTGTTTAGGGTCCTTTGGTCAGCTCTGAAGGATGTATGGACTCCTTTGATCATAAATTAGTGATACTTGTGCTGCTCCAATTTTGAGGTCAAACAAGCATGGTGTCTCAAATGTGAAGTGAAACCAATCAGAAACTAAGTGTACTAAACCTGGACATCTGTGATTTTGTATCGCTATGTGCGTGGTCTCATGTTTTGAAAATCATCTGACAATTTTAAAAGCCTGCCAAGTGACCTGGGCTTTAGTTTATCTGAACGTTGAGTTTTGTCAAAATGTGTAATAAGAGATTAGACCTTTTTAACTGGGAATATGATTTGGTAAAGAAAAGTAATGCAAGTCGTAATACTTCCAAATTGTACCTTCAATGAAGTTTCATACCCAATGGTAGGAATTTTATCTTCTCAGTGGCCTAGTGGTACTGTAGGAATGTCAGCCTTGGGACTGAGAGATAAGGAATCAAATCCACGGTCGGATCATACCAAAGACTTTCAAATGGGACCCAATGCCTCCCTGCTTGACACTCAGCTTTAAGGGGTTGGATTGAGAGGTTAAACCACCAAATAGTTCCCTAGCGCAGCCACTGCTGCAGCTCACCGCTCCCCATGGGGATGGGTTAAATGTGGAGGTGTAATTTCACCAGTGTGTGATAACGACTAATAGGACTTTTAGTTTAACTTTATTCTCAGTGGCCGGTGTTTGGTATCTTGTGGTTCAGTTGTACCAGTTATTCATGAAAAGGGTTATACTTTGCACCCTCGCAGGGGCAGATGACTTCCTTTACTCAAATATTTTTGGTACAATTTTACAAAAGAACAAACTGACACTCGATGGCCTTGTAAAGAGGACAGCTGCCCATTTGACAGGGCTGGAGTGTTAATAGACGAAGCCCCTGCCATCACCTACATGTTTGAAGTCCTTGAAGGGGACAAACTGGACAATGTCACGAAGGACCGGCTCGCCCTTGGGTGAACGCAAGATCCCGTCATCCCCGTCGAGAATCTGCATGTCAGTGAAGTCTGCGTTTCCCACTCCAACAATAATGACAGACATAGGCAGGTGAGAGGCGTGCACGATGGCCTCCCGTGTGTCCGCCATGTCGGTGATGACGCCGTCGGTGAGGATCAGCAGGATAAAGTACTCCTGGTTTGACAAATGAAGGGAAGAGGTAGAGGGAGAGGGAGAGAGAGAGTTGGTGGGGGAAAATGAGGAATGGATGCTCAGCGTAACTGATAATTTAAATGTGGTTTCTTGGTAGGAGGCTAATTTAAATAAAACTCATTGTAATCCACTGGAGAGCCGGGGAGAAGCAGAGGGCATTAAGGCAGGGACAACGTCATACTCTAATTTCATAACCTGATGTAAATTAATACCAATCAATCTTCCTTTCGTCTCTAAAATGTTGTCTTTATTTCCAATTTGTATTTTCTCATTCTCCTGGTCTGCAAGCGTAAAAGTGCAACCACCGTCCATCACAGCAACAGGAGTAAAATATATGTTTTTATCATTTCCTCTCACCATGGCCTCTTTGGTGTGCATCTCCTCGGAGGCAGAAGAGGCCACTTTCTGGATGATTGGGGCGATGTTGGTGGGCCCATACAGTTGGATCTTAGGAAGGCAGTTCTGGTAGGCCTCCACCACGCCTTGGATCCCTGCAACACACGTAGGCTCAGGCTCTTGCTGCTTCTTTAGTTTCTTCTTCTATCTTTGTGTAAATTGGGGTGCGCTCTCCTCACAGCGTCAAAGTTCCTGTTCTTGCCAAAGTGTTTGCTACAATAAATCAGACTCTCCACGTGTGATAGCGCTCCAAGGTGACTGAGCATTTTTCAAAAAAACGTTCCCTCATGGTACACACAAACGCACAATGATGCACACACTCACACACACTCATACACACCTTCATGGCAGAGACTGCAGCTATGTGGGGTGAGGAGCACAGAAGCCCATTTCACACATAGAGATTAGTGTTGTTTTTCTCTGAGTCGTAGAGCCTGAAATACATCCTGTAGCATTGTGACAAATCTCCCAGCTGCATTCATGAGTGTGTGTTTGTGTCCAAGTGTGTTTGCACGCCTATTTGTGTATTTGTGAAATGAAGAAGCCAAACTGCAGAGGGAGAGATGAGAGGCTACACCGCAGGGCTGTTTTGGGTCTGTGATGCGTGAACGTGCACAGAAAGCATCACTTTAGGCGACATGGAACACGTTTGTGTTTGAGATGCGGCTGCTCACCAGCACATTCGGGATTTTCTTCATCAAAGTTCACAGCAAAGTCATGTGAAACCTTAAAGCGGGGCAGAGAACAGAAAGGTCGTTTTAAAAAGCTGTGACGGCTAAGCGCAACATGCCAAGTCCAATTTGTGCAATATATTCTGCTTTCATGCTAATCAAAAGCAAAAACGGAACCATCTAGAACTCTACTTTGCTCCACACGCTCCCAACTCCAATGTCCTACCTTGAAGTCAGGTGGTATCAGAGCTCCAAAACCAAAGGCAGGGAACATTTTGTCGCTGGAGTAAAGAAAAGAGACGTAAATAACACAGATGGAAGGGCAAATTGTAGATTTGTACATGTGTTGCATACTATTAACTCCATGCAAGGACAATATTTTCAAGGAGAGAGCATCCTGTGTGTGTGTGTGTGTGTGTGGGGGGGGGGGGGGGTCAGCATGGGGTAAACAGGGATTGATGGAGTGGTCCCTACCTGTCATAGTCTTGGCAGATCTCCCCTACAGCCACCAGCGCTTTTAGGTACTCGTTGGGCTGGTAGGGGTGGATGTAGTGGAGTGAGCAGCTGTTTCTCGGATCCCCATTGGATGCCGTGAAGTCTATGGCCACCTGGGACAGAAACATACAAAGACATCCACACAGCATGAGTGGGCACAAAACGGTGTGGGGACGTCGATGCAAGCGTTGATGAATTTGTTCTGTTTCTGAGAAGGCTTACCGTGAACTGAATCTGGCAGCCCCCCATGATGTAATCCAGGAAGGAGTACATTTTGATGGTCTGTCAAGAAAGATCACTTTAATTAAGGCTTTGCGGCATGAATTGTTCATTGGGGTTGAGAAATGACAGGAACATGGCTTTAACTGTCTGAGAACGAGGAGTGCTTTGAAAACTGGTGCAAAACAACTTTCTACATGAACTGCAGAAGGAATGAAAGAATACACGGATGTCCTAGGTGATTGTTCACAGTCCCCCTCACTGCATCTCCATGGCAAGACAAATGCTGTAAAATATCGGGCTATGTGGTATACTGTTTTCCAGTAATACAGTTGAATACTGTCAAATCTGACGTCTTTGAGAAACAAACTATTAACGGCAAGCTTTTGTAATCTTTTACGGTAAAAGCCGTATTTTCTGCTCTTTCCCATCAAGCTACCATAATCTTACGGTATAATATAGTAAAACTTGATCATGGGCTCATTCAGTTAGACACCTGAACAAAATTAGAAATAAATGGAAATGAAATTAGGCCGACACATCTGTTGAAGCACGTTACTAGCTTCAGCTGGCTTGGTCATTTGATTTGCCGCTACAAGGTTCAATTTTATCATTTGTTGAGATACTTTTCCCACATAAAACGTTTTAAAGGAGTTCATAGGGAAACACGTTATACAGGCTGATGCCAAAAGCTTAAAAGTATCTTCAGATGTGCACTCGATGTAATATAGCTAACACACAGTAGAACCCCAACTGTTGAATAAGCAGTGTCAGAGTATGGAAAATCTGTTGGAGTCAATTCAATGAAAGTGAGTGTAAAATACTAGCCTTTGTCTATTCTACACAGAGGACAAGTCTGGATACTCCGAGGCAGAGAGCATCATGACTTACAGAACTCCCAACTGAATAATATCAGTGGACCCCATAAATATTTAAGATTCTGTTTGGTTTAAGAAAACACAAACTCAAAAGGTGGCTCCTTGCTTGGATTAGCCATTAGCTTGCTAGTCTGATCAGAACCGATCTCCCATTACCCTGAACTGTGGCTGCCAAAAAATCTATTTAAAAAATGGTAAAATATTAATTGTCCACTACTAAGGTCCTTTGAAATCCGTTTTAGTTTTATCACTGTTCGATGGTAGATTTAGAGGTTACCGCTTAATTATTTTTGAGGCAAAAGGACTGACTACTAATGTTAATGGGGACAAAGAATGCAGTTTATCAGCAATTTAAAACACTGCTTTGAATCTTTAAGAAGCATGAGACATTTTCTTTTGGCTTTCATCTGTCCCAGGATTCCTGACACAGGCCATTCTCTAATCCCTAAATCAGAATAATATCAGTGGACCCCATAAATATTTAAGATTCTGTTTGGTTTAAGAAAACACAAACTCAAAAGGTGGCTCCTTGCTTGGATTAGCCATTAGCTTGCTAGTCTGATCAGAACCGATCTCCCATTACCCTGAACTGTGGCTGCCAAAAAATCTATTTAAAAAATGGTAAAATATTAATTGTCCACTACTAAGGTCCTTTGAAATCCGTTTTAGTTTTATCACTGTTCGATGGTAGATTTAGAGGTTACCGCTTAATTATTTTTGAGGCAAAAGGACTGACTACTAATGTTAATGGGGACAAAGAATGCAGTTTATCAGCAATTTAAAACACTGCTTTGAATCTTTAAGAAGCATGAGACATTTTCTTTTGGCTTTCATCTGTCCCAGGATTCCTGACACAGGCCATTCTCTAACCCCTAAATCAGAATAATATCAGTGGACCCCATAAATATTTAAGATTCTGTTTGGTTTAAGAAAACACAAACTCAAAAGGTGGCTCCTTGCTTGGATTAGCCATTAGCTTGCTAGTCTGATCAGAACCGATCTCCCATTACCCTGAACTGTGGCTGCCAAAAAATCTATTTAAAAAATGGTAAAATATTAATTGTCCACTACTAAGGTCCTTTGAAATCCGTTTTAGTTTTATCACTGTTCGATGGTAGATTTAGAGGTTACCGCTTAATTATTTTTGAGGCAAAAGGACTGACTACTAATGTTAATGGGGACAAAGAATGCAGTTTATCAGCAATTTAAAACACTGCTTTGAATCTTTAAGAAGCATGAGACATTTTCTTTTGGCTTTCATCTGTCCCAGGATTCCTGACACAGGCCATTCTCTAACCCCTAAATCAGAATAATATCAGTGGACCCCATAAATATTTAAGATTCTGTTTGGTTTAAGAAAACACAAACTCAAAAGGTGGCTCCTTGCTTGGATTAGCCATTAGCTTGCTAGTCTGATCAGAACCGATCTCCCATTACCCTGAACTGTGGCTGCCAAAAAATCTATTTAAAAAATGGTAAAATATTAATTGTCCACTACTAAGGTCCTTTGAAATCCGTTTTAGTTTTATCACTGTTCGATGGTAGATTTAGAGGTTACCGCTTAATTATTTTTGAGGCAAAAGGACTGACTACTAATGTTAATGGGGACAAAGAATGCAGTTTATCAGCAATTTAAAACACTGCTTTGAATCTTTAAGAAGCATGAGACATTTTCTTTTGGCTTTCATCTGTCCCAGGATTCCTGACACAGGCCATTCTCTAACCCCTAAATCAGAATAATATCAGTGGACCCCATAAATATTTAAGATTCTGTTTGGTTTAAGAAAACACAAACTCAAAAGGTGGCTCCTTGCTTGGATTAGCCATTAGCTTGCTAGTCTGATCAGAACCGATCTCCCATTACCCTGAACTGTGGCTGCCAAAAAATCTATTTAAAAAATGGTAAAATATTAATTGTCCACTACTAAGGTCCTTTGAAATCCGTTTTAGTTTTATCACTGTTCGATGGTAGATTTAGAGGTTACCGCTTAATTATTTTTGAGGCAAAAGGACTGACTACTAATGTTAATGGGGACAAAGAATGCAGTTTATCAGCAATTTAAAACACTGCTTTGAATCTTTAAGAAGCATGAGACATTTTCTTTTGCTTTCATCTGTCCCAGGATTCCTGACACAGGCCATTCTCTAACCCCTAAATCAGAATAATATCAGTGGACCCCATAAATATTTAAGATTCTGTTTGGTTTAAGAAAACACAAACTCAAAAGGTGGCTCCTTGCTTGGATTAGCCATTAGCTTGCTAGTCTGATCAGAACCGATCTCCCATTACCCTGAACTGTGGCTGCCAAAAAATCTATTTAAAAAATGGTAAAATATTAATTGTCCACTACTAAGGTCCTTTGAAATCCGTTTTAGTTTTATCACTGTTCGATGGTAGATTTAGAGGTTACCGCTTAATTATTTTTGAGGCAAAAGGACTGACTACTAATGTTAATGGGGACAAAGAATGCAGTTTATCAGCAATTTAAAACACTGCTTTGAATCTTTAAGAAGCATGAGACATTTTCTTTTGGCTTTCATCTGTCCCAGGATTCCTGACACAGGCCATTCTCTAACCCCTAAATCAGCCTTGCTGTAAAAAGAGCTGTTTGCCCCTCCCACTTGGACAGTACATGAATATGCTAATGAGCTACTTGCTGATTGGTTGGTTTAAACCAAGCCCCCACAATGCAGGTGAAAAATTGAGGCCAACCCGGAAGTGACAAAAATTGCAGTTCCACCCTCATCCACTAGGGGCCGGTATCAGAACCGAGCAAATCCTCATTGACTCCCATGTTAAAAATACCAATTTCACAGCAGAAATAAACATGTTTACAGCCTGGTACCAAAACATGTTTTTGGTTTAAATGATCTAGTTTACACTCATGACAACTCTGAGGGGGGTGAATTTTTTTCTGACTCTTCTGTTTAAGTGTATTGGACAAAATGACTTGCTGTGGCATTAATTGCACTAATAGAGCGTCCAATGAGTCTCCACTTCATTTGTTTTGGTAAGTAAAATTATATTTATGTATTTTACCTTTCTCAGTGGCCTAGTGGTAGAGTGTCCACCCTGAGACTGGGAGATCAGGGGTTCGATTCCTGGTCGAGTCATACCAAAGACTTTGAAAAAATGGGACCCAATGCCTCCCTGCTTGACACTCAGCATTAAGGGGTTGGATTGGGGGGTTAAACCACCAAATAGTTCCTGAGCGCAGCTGCGTCTGCAGCTCACCGCTCCCCCAGGGGATGGGTCAAATGCAGAGAACAAATTTCACACACACACCTGTGTGTTTGATAACTAATGGGACTTTGACTTTGACTTTAGGTCACTGCCGAGCTGAGATTAGATTTTAACATGTACTGTTTAACCATGAAATTTAAATGTAATAGGGTGAAACCCAGTGCATTTAACATAATGCTGCACTTTAGAAAATGGGTTGAAATATAACATGTTGGTGGAGCTGGGTTCCGACTATCGGCTTGTGGAGCTCTTCTCCCCTCCCCGCAGCTCGGCGCATCTCTGTCTGATCGCAGCTTCTGTCTGATGCGCGGGCTGCCGGCTTGTGGAGCTCTGAGATGGAAACCTTTCCACCCGGTTCTCGCCAGCGGCAGCTCTGCGCATCTCAGATCGCAGCGGCACTTGTCTGCTGTGCGGCTGCCGGCTTGTGGAGGTCTCGGAGACCTCTGTGTTCCACCCGGTTTTACCCAGCGGTCAGCCCGGCGTATCTCTGACTCAGAAGCTCTGGTGTTGTGCACAGTTAACTCCGGTTGTTGCTAGGTTGCTACCTCCGTTAGCTTAGGTCCCACCTCCGCATTAGCTTTGGGTTAGCTTCAGGTTAGCTTGTAGCTAGTTTGACCGGGTGTCGTCAATTGATCCCAGCCTTACAGCCCCACCCTCAGCTCCACCTCTCTTCCCTTTTGTGGAATTGTCTGGACTTGACAGAACCTGTGACACGGTCAAAATGGCGGTGGTGGCCACCTCCTATTTTTCTTTAAAAACGTGTTATTGGAATCTATGGAAAACCATTGTCCAATATTTGTATGTCGATGGTTTAAACCAGAAGACCTCAGACACTGGAGACTACAGATGGAGGAGGAAGGGCTCCACATTTATGAGAGGTTTCTCAGAAAATAAGTTTTTCTCTTGCATTTTTAACTCACTTGAACCGTCACCTTATCGTG